ATATGCTTATGCATGCAGCGTGCGCGCCTGTTCATAACATCCCATCATGTTTCTAACGTTGAAATTCGATATTTTGTACAATAAAATAAAAGCAAAAGCAAAAACAAAATCGTATGTAATGGCCTCTGGCCTTAATTGTGACTACACACATAAGTTAACATTTAATATACGTATGTACATTAAATTACATACCTGACATCTATGCGAACATGTACGTATGCAAGTTTGTTCACACGTATTTTTGTATTAAAACAAAAAAAAAATAAAAAAACCAAAAACTAAAGACATGAACAACAACAACCATAACAAACAATGGCATTGCAAGTACTTTTCGATGATATTTTGCCAATCATGTCAAAACAAAGTTTAAGTTTATATGAAGAAGGAAAGTTGAAGTAGGGGCAATTGGTGGAAGCAGAATAAAGCTAAAATTACCTTAATACTGTTCATTCAAGTTCAATAAAATAATAACAGAGAAATTTACCCAAACATGAGCAATACATGTAAAGGTAGGCAGCTGCAAAAGACGGTTGAGCGAATGATAAACAAATTTTAACACATGTGCATTCAAAATGAGTACAAAAATTTTATAATAGAGGCGAAGCAAATGGAAGCAAAATGTTGATACACATAAGTAATAATAATAATGTAAGATAATTTGTGGTGTTCTGATTTTAAGAGGCTTTAAAGGTTAATTTATTTTATATTATAATTAAATAAATATGCAATGTAATTAAATTTTTTTTTGACATTACTTATGGCATTACTTGTAGATTTATATGGTCATTATATATTATATATTTATCTTTCCTTGCTGGCTCAAGAAAGTCCTTTGATGATGTTTAACCTTGATATGCGTTCCAATAGAAAAGTTTTGTTTTATAGTCTATGAATTTCATCAGCGTATGATACCCAAACAAGGCTACATGTCACAATACCGTAGATCCAGAACGGTTTAATGGTTGCATAACATATTATGCAAACCGTTCTAGATCTTGTGTACCGAACTATGTAGATATGTAAAACATTGTGGTTAAGCCTTAGTGTTGAGTTACAATTTTAAAGTCAGAAAAGTTATTACCAAGTCAACTCTTCTTAAGTTTTCTTACTGTCAATGTGTTTTTTTTTATATCAGTCAGCTCTCTTGATCAGGGCTTTTTGGTCCGGAACTCGCCAAACCCCAACATTTTGCTGGTACTTTTAAAAAAACATTAACTATTTTTTGTTTATCATTTTGGGTTCAGAAGTACTTATATGGTAAATATATGAATACTATATGAATATTTGGGTTATTTTTTTCCCTTATATTATGAAGTAATAATATTATTTATTTTAACTAGAGTGTAAATCACCAACGATAGGATGTTATGAAAATACTTTTTTTATTCCCTGATTTTTCACCGTTATCTCAAGTTAATTTTTCATAAATCTAATAATTTTAAGAAATACTGTTCCAATAAATTACCTAAGTATTTTCCTCCCTAAGATTGCCTAATAATAATATTTTATTTACTTTAACTGAAGAGAAAATTTCCGAAGACAACAGGCTATAAAAAAGTGTTATTTATTCCTTAATATTTTTTCATTATTTCAAGTTAATTTTTCGAGGTGATAATCGGAGGTATGATGAGAGGTTTTGAGATGCTAGATTTGAATCACTGGAAAAGCTAAGTGTTTCTGTATCTTTCGAAAACTGATGAACAGGTCATTTATATTCAGGATAGTTAGAAGGGTAAATTGAGTTTCCTAGGACGTTCATAGAGATTCTTCAGTTTTAGCTTTTAAATCTTTTATCACAAAAGCGTTCTATTTCAAATGTTTGTGAATAGTGGAAAAGCATTTGAATTTATATTTTAATAAATTTAATTTTTCGGTGATTGTAAATCTGTTTCGAGTACTGTTTCGACTAATACAAATCATCAGTGGTCTTTTACAATTATTTATAATATATAATTATTTGTAGGTAATTTTTAGACGATTTTTTTTATTAAAATGTCATCCAAAGCATTATAAATTCAGTCAAAGATTTTCCACATTGAAATATAGTTCGCTTAAGAACTGCTGAATGTGTTAAATTTATGACAATTTATTTTAAATACTGAGACGGTTTTTGACATTATATTATAACATTAAGAGTTATAACATCTATTATTTACCTGATAGATGTGCCAGCAAAAAAAGTTTTCAGTGTGAGATGGGGTATTTGGTCTCGAGATATGGGGCTATCACAAGTAGGTTTTTGCAAATGATATATGTGTGGCATAAACCGTCAATCATTACACCTATTACTTGAATTTTTTTAGCAAGAAAATAAAAATCTTAAGCTAAACAATATATCCTTTTCTGGCTATTATATATGCTATAACAAATTTCTCGGATGTGTAATTGCATGCTTTGGTGATGTTACCAAAATCAACCAATCTACTTAACTTTTTTTGTGGTGTTACACAAAGTATTGTATTTAATCGTAAAATCCACAAACTGTTAACGTTGTGAAACATTCGTCAATTTATGGTGGAGTTATTGCTAGTAGTGTGCCAATATTTTGTAGAAAATTATCCCAAAAGTGTTCAGTACTGTGTGGTATCTTGGAAAAAATATTTAAAAGATGTTGTAGTTCATATCCAAAGCCAAGAACCAAGCAATATATTGATATAAAAATCTATATATTAAATGAAATCCAATTCGCATATATGTTTTATTTAATTTTATTTTACTTTTGCAATTACTAAATGTTTAACCCCCGACAAGCAACTCAATCGAACAAATTGCTGAAGATTATATTTAAATTCAAAATATTTACAAAAACTGTGATAAAAAAACTAATTATAATAAGTTAAAAAAAATCAATACAAAAAAAGCCATACAAATAAACGAACAGTCCAAAAATAGTGCCGGGCATATTCGGCCATTTTGATATATGTTTTTACCGCTTTTTTCTGCTACACAAAATGAAGGTGATTTTTAGAATTAATAAAAACAAACACTAACAACATGTTAAAGTAATTAAAAATGTTAATTATTTTAAATAAATCATGAAAACTCAAAGTCACCATTAAAATGAAGTATTGAAAATTTATAAGCTAAGCCACTGCCCACACCGCTTTTCAGTTTGGCTGAACGTGAAATTCAGATACTTATTCAGATTTTCGGCCACCAATAGACAGATACATTGAGAATAGATGCTTATTTGGCTAAACGTATGAAGTTGTACTACTGTAAATTTATGGCAGTTTTTAAACTAATAAATTTTATAATAAAAGAGAATTACCAAAAGTTAAAAAAAAAAACTTGTTAACATTTTGTGGTATGTTACCAAAAGCGAGATAAATTAAATTAAGCCAAAATATAAATTCAATTAAAAGTAATATCATAAACAAAGCACTGTGGCAGGTTTTTATATGGAATGGATTTATAATGCATAATCACGCATACTCGATATATGTGGTATATGTCTACCTATACTCTATACTATCTATACTTATATATTTTGAATCAAAAACCGATATATATTTAGCCTGTTTATTTTATTCAAAAAAATTTGCTGCCAATAAAATAAATAACTTGTTAACAAAATCATATTCATATTAGTTTTATTTAATTTTTTATTTATTTTTATAAATTTTGAACTGTGGGAAAATATTTAGTTTGGTTTTAATAGAGGCATATGCCGAATTTACGAGTCTAAATTTTGCTTTTGTTGTCAACAAGTTTTTGGCGAGTTTTTATTTTTAATTCAATTTTGAGTTGATAAATTTATGACAATTTTAACCGAAATAAGTTGCTTTATTTTTATGCAAAATAAACAAAACATTTGTTTAGTTGAATAAATGCTGGAATTGAAATATTCCGTATTTTATTCATTTAAATTTGCATAAGTTCGATTTTTTAAATTTTTTAAAAATAATTTTAATTAGAATGCAAAATTTGCTTTCTTCTATATCTTTATGGTTTTTAAATGGTAAATACATTTTAAAAAGTTTTAAACTAAAAAGTTGGAGCTTCATTGAATTAATTTTACTATACGCAATACCATAGGATCCGAGCTTTTAGTATATCCAACTATTAGTCTGCATCTGACTGTAGACGTTAGGCGTATTTAGATCAATAACAAAAAAATGGAGAGGTTTCTTCATCCAAAAAGATCTAAACACACTATTTTTAGAAAACATTTTTTAAATATAAAATAAAAAAAAAATTGATATCTGCGAATTCTATAAAATGCAGAGTAAAATATAAAAAATATGGTCTTCTCTATTTGTATCTTGCTATTGTCAGTAAAATTATTCATTACCATCATCATTCAGCCGATGAGACATAAAGTCTAAGAGACATTTTTTAACCAAGGTTTGCTTAGATAATACTATGTCTGATAAGGTAATCAGGCATTGAATATTAGACCTCAACGATTACGGTGTATCTCTTTTAAGAATAATAATTAAACTTAATATTAATAATAATATTTGAAAAAATTGAAAGAATGCACAGAAATTCTTTCGAAAATATATAGTAATATGTTATATTGCCAAACAAAAAAAATTCCTATTCCGAATAACTAAAATAACCACATTAAGTTCGCAATGCAAAAAAATGTTTACTTGGTATAATGATAATACTATATATTGTATTTATAATCCTTGTTTAGCTGAAATGAACTATCTGATTTTCGGATTTTCGGAGACATCGGATTGGTATATATGTGAAATATTTCTAATAAAGAATTAAAAATATAATATTATAAATTTAAAAATAAATACAAGTTGCAAGTTTTTGAATAAGAATTCAGAATTCATAAAATTAAAACTAAATTTCAATTGATATATTCTATCAGCCTATAGTTAATAAAACAGACTAAAAAAACTATCATAAAACTATCATAAACAATTTTTTAATGCTTTTTTTACCAAAAAGTCAATATACATGACAATAACTAGTGCATAATTCATATTCTACTTTCAAAAATACATTTAATTTAGAGTACTATATATTTATATTTACAGAGTAATCCTTATGCTTTGAAAGATTCTGCTACCGGCACAGAAATGACTGCTTGGACATCAGCTGGATTGCAGCCCACAACTGGATATTATTCATACGACCCTATGTCCGCTTATGGGTGAGTTTAAAACGTTAAACATATTAAAAATTAATAACATATTAGTTATAGTTTTAAATTAATAATAATTATAAATTTATATTAATTATAAATTTATAAGTTAAAGTACCTATATTCTATAAATTGTTGAACCAAACATTTTTTTTTTTAAATTTCGAATAGTTATTCAGAAATGCAAAAAACGACATAAATCGCATTCAGAAATAAAGTTATTCTGATTGTTTTCTGTAACAAACGAATCGCGCCCAAATCGGTCATAAACGCAACAGACCACTGAAATGGTTATGGCGTTTATATTTTGTAATTTGCGGGAAATTTTGTTTATCAACTTTCTTAAAAAATGCCAGAGCGTCAGTATCTACATGATCAGATTGCTGCAATGTTCAAGTAGTGCATTTAAAAGAGGAAATCCCTAAGCAATGCCCTCATATGAACAAGGAAAAGTGCACTTTCACCAAGATAATGTGACGTGTCTGAAGAATATTGGCTACAATCGCCAAATTGCCCTAATTACACTTCCGTTTGCTTTCGCACCAACTATATTTGCCAGATTTGATCCCTTACGATTACTAACTGTTCGCAGGCTCCATGGAAAGATAGAAAAGTCAATCGCCAAAACTGAGGCATTTGTTTTAGGCGAAAAATGAATTATATTACAAGAGAGACATTAAAATATTAGAGAAAAAAAGTTCATTTCTTATTAGTCGATGTGTTATGGGATAAATATAATGCAACTTAATCATAACTACAAAATTCTATTAATTTTGTTTAAAATATACCACATTTTTCGGTTAATTAATTTAATCGTAATTCACAAATGAACCCAGTCTCTATGTTAACTTTATTACCTTAAAGAAAGGCTTGTGGTAAAGCAAAAATTACAGGTTAGGTTAGGTTAGGTTAGGTTAGGTTGGAGTGTCAGTCTTATACACCAAGAAAGCACAATTGAGCTCAAATAATGGCGCGCTGTGGTACCACAAGAATAACGTTGGTACGTATTTAGACTAGAATGTCAGTATTCAACCTTCTATATTAATAAATTACAAATTAATATTATTATTTTTGAAAAAATGTAGTTTTTTTAAAATTTTGTGAAAATAAATCTGTGGTTAGTGAAGTAAACTATAAAGTTTCACAATTTCATAAACGTTTTAATTGGATAGATTTTCGGCACGCTACAAATTTGCCGGTTAAATAAATTTTATTGCAATTTGACAGGCATAAGTGTTAAACAATAAAATTTATAACAATAATGCGCGACTAACTAATAATAAATCATTTGTCAAATCATAGTAAATGAATTCAAAAATTAAATTTATTTCAATGCAATTGACTACAATTAACGAATTCATATGAATAAATATGAGAACAAAAACAAAAACAGAGACAACCACAACCTCAACCAAAAGGTATGAATGAATGAATGACCGGAAAAACTTTTTGTTGTGTGTGGAGTAAAGGCAATCCAACTATTATACAAATAAAGCGTAGGCAGCTGGATCCCCCGGGACGTTGAATGAGTGGAGTCAGTGGAAATGGTGATAATTAATTGCAAAAGATTTGTGAGCATTTAAAATTGATTTGAATTTAATTGTTTTATGTGCAACGACGACGAAACGTACGAAACTCCATTTGCATTTGGCGATAACTGAAGTAAACGTACTGGCAACGCCAAATGAAAAATAAATGTGACATAAAATTGGAAAAAATATCACGATAAGTTCTTTGTGAAAATCATAAAAAATAACAAAAAAAAAAGAAATTTAATTGTGCAAATTGTGAGAGTGCGCGCATAATTATTTATTTACGAGTTTGATTGCGGCGGAAATAATCGCACTTAATTGCACACAAATGCGCATTTATGCACGCACACCATCAACACACACACATACACTTGCAACGCTGAAGCTTCAACGCATTGTCGTCGTCGTCGTTGTTGTTGTTGTTGAAGCAAATGACTGTGAGCATTTTAAATGCACTTGCTCGGTTCGTATGGGTGCTTTCCTAATGGATTCGCGTGCAGATGAATGTGGATAAACTAACGCCATGTTGGTAGCCGCCATATTGCTACGCTATGTTGACAAAAATTTAACGGAAGGACGGTTTGCTTTGGTTTTTAGTTTTTTTATTTTGTTTTTGGTTTTGTTGTGTTTTTTTTTTTGTTTTTTGGTTTGAGGTTTTGGGTTCGGTTGAAGTTTTGTTTAAATATGCAAGGCGAAAAAATTAAAATCAAAGTAAAAACTAAAAAACAAAAACAACAACAACAACTTTTGCTTGAAACTCAGCGATGCTTGATGTTGGTCGTTAAATTGATGAAAAAGTGCATGAAATGTATAACACATAAGAGACAATGACAGCGCTAGAGTGCGCAACCATTGTATGGGTTAGGAGGGCGGGGGAGGGGTGTGGAGAGTTATATTGCGCATTGTCGTACAGACTGTCGTGTTGAGCATTATTTGCTTAAATTGTGTGTTCATATTGCTGTAAATTGCTACTTGCTGATAATAAATTTAATAACGACAATAAATGTTTGAGTAGCAATTTTATTATTATTGTTGTTGTATACGTATTGAGGCAATAACAAAAACAAAAGAGTAAACAAAATTGTTTGTGTAGGCCACTGTTAAATTGCTTAAAACTTTAATTATTAATTAGAAACATGTACATTGAGCTCATATTAAATAGCACAATATATATATAAAGAAGTATTGTGAGTTTTAGCTATTATAGTTAATAATGCAATTGCTATACACTTTTGTTGCGGTTGTATGTTGTCTAGTATTATTACTTATTTTAACTTATATGTTTATTGTTGTTGGTGTGTGAACAAGAGTTTGATTTGTTAACAAGATAAAGTGTAATTTTATTTTTGTCTAACTGCTTCTTGTTAAAAAATCAAACCACATAACAGCAACAATAATATAGTAGCTACAAATGCAATACTAGTAGATAAATAACAACAACATCTACACCTACAACTGATAGTTTTTTTGCATTCATATGTGTCACCACCTGTGCGATACCGAATATTCTTACTTGTACCGCGCTACCACTTGCTCATAACACATAATTAAAACAAACGGACGCAAGCGTTTGTTACCTTTTAAGTAATACAAAAATGTACTAAACTAGTGTGTAACTTCAGTGACTTATATAGATATAGACACATGCACGAAACATTTCACACACATACACCCATATATATATATTCATATGTCACAATATTATTTTAATATATAGTATAGGAGTACATATGCCGATGCGATAATGATAGTGATGTGTGCATTGTGAATGCGAAAATCGTGTTCTTAATTGTTACTTTGCCATTTGTTTGCAGTGACGCCGCTATTAAATCATTGAACATGGCCATAAAGCAAAATGCACTACAAACGTAGCAACATAGAAAATATTTTAATTTACGGCTACCGACTATAGAGTTAGACCAACTATTACCAGCAATCTATATATGGAACCTAAAAGATTTGTTAAAAAAGAAATATTTTTATTTGCATACTAATAGAAATAATGATGCATTTAGTAATATGAAAGAAATTTAAAAATAAATTTTAAATTGCATTTTTCTTTTGCAGTAACTAATTAACTTAATAGAATCGACTGTGTTTAATAGAGAGGTTTCGAATAGTACTGAACTATAACAACAAATTTTTTTTTTTTTATTTTAATTAATTAAACTTTTGGCTGACCGAATAGCTGTTTCGAGTATTACCAAATATCCATTATCAGTGGTCTTGGAATTATTTCTTATATTTGTTAATTGGTTAATGTATTTAATAATGAACTTTCACAGCAAATTAACAAAACTCCAAGTTTGAATATACAAATCAAGTATGGCTTTGGGTCAGTTGACACTGAGCATCAAATTAGGCAGGGTACGAGTTCAACACTTGGTACTTATAGTCTCAAAAAATTATTTGCAAACAATTCAGTACAATAAATAATTCCAAGACCAGTCATAATCAGTATTTAACAGTACTTGAAACAGCCGAAAATTCAATTAATAAGAATAATAAAAATTTTGTTGTGCAAATTCAATACTATTTGAAACTTATCTTTTAAAATTAATTTTGATAGTTTCGAAAGTAATTAAAATTTATTAATCTATTAAAAGCACTGCTTGAATTACAAAACTAATTTAATTATTATATTAGGAATATTATGCATATTCAGAGGGAAAAAGCTTTGGGCAGTTGCTGTACAGTTCGGCAAAGTTGAAATTACACGTTAAAAATTTAATATCTTTTGGACCCGTACTGATATTAAAATAAAATTTAATTTATAATATGGTTCTAAAGATGACCTTTCTATGGAATGTGTTTTGAGCGCAATAAAGTCACTAAAACTCTTTTTAATTTGGACCTAAGTATGGTCAAACTTTATTTAATTTTTGAATATCTCAAAATCTATAAAACGTAAAAAAAATTAATTCGGATACAAAACACTTTTATAAGACAGACAACTTAATAGTTATTATTTGAAATAATCGAATTAATCTATCTATCTATTTTATGTACTCTTTGTTAGGATCATTGTGTTATAAAAGCATATCTGTAATAGCGATACAAAATACTTTTATTATACTTGTATTACAAAATACTTATAGTGTAGTATCCTAACTCTTTACTATAACACTCATTTTAATATCTATACTAGTTCAGAAAATACCGAATTTAGATCGTCTAATTTTAATTCTGCCACATCGGTTACGTGTGGCGTCGGTTACGTCGTAATTTCAGTATACGAAACTTGAATGGTTAGAAATCAATTCAATATTTTATTTAGCATTGGGACTTACTTACTCTTTATTGTTTTTCTAATAAGCTAAATTGACGCATTTGGCGATGAAAATCCAATGTACTATCTACACATCTTACAAAATGCAGTCCTTAGTGCTCTTTATATCTTAGTGGCATGATCGCATCATACTTTTTCAAACCCAAAGAATGTGCTTGTGTTCTCGACAATGGTGTCAAATATAGAAGTATGATTTATAATTTCTCGTTTCTTTAAATACATGTATACCTGGTTAGAAGTTATTTAGTTCTAACATGTTTCTAACAAGATGGTGTCATATGTCATACTTCCTAAGCCCCCAGTAACTTATGTATGAAAGCGTTTGATGACAATTCAATCTACAGAAATGGGATCATGGTCTGTCTACGCAGATTGTGTGTTCTTAATCTATTGGATTTCTTTTTATAGTAACCAAAATGTGATGGAGTCAGTATCAATACCATGAAAATTAATAGACTGCACTACATTGTAATAATGTAAGATAAGGCCTCAAATTTTTGAAGAAGTGGGTAAGTTTGAATCTCTTGAAAGCTGCTTTACATGAGCTTTCTTGATAGATATCTGCTTGATGTCATTTAACGGTAAATTCTTACTAATAAATAAATTGAGGTAGTCCAACTTTTTTATTGTTAGGGTATATATGGTATGCCGAATACAAAAAATATCTATTTTTTGTGACGTAAGCTAAACAGAGATTAGATCTATTAATGTTCTTATTAATTACCTGTACAGTAGTGAGCAGTAATTTTTATGTATTGATAAAAATATTTCAAAGAAGTGGTTTTCTTCTTAAAACCATAGTTTAGTTGCTTCTCTTAAACAATTTGTTCGTGCATAAAAATGGGAGTAAAATCAATAAATGTACCAGGATACAGATTTAATTTTTACATCTCGATTTTATGTTAATCCTAGTTTTTCTACGGTAAGAAAATATTCATGTTACTGCATAAATCTGAACTATGTAACACAGCACATCGATAATGTGGTGAAAAAATAAAATTAATAAAAATAATATTTAGTAAGGACTTTCAAAGGACTATACAAAATAATGAATAAAAAAGGAATTTAAAAATAAAAATCAAAGTTGGTTTCATTTTGCAAAAATAATAACACTCGCAGATTCCTTCAGTTGTTAAATTCACCGCACAAGCTGTTGATTCTGCGGTACCATAAAAATCCCATAAAACAAGAACAAAAGTAGATACACAAAATAAAAAAAAAATGTCATAAAAAGTAAAATCTAAAAACAAGCTAACAGGAAAAGAATATGAAAAAAATAAGCTTCACTTCTGGAATCCCATCTACAGAGATGCACAGTAAACCATATAATCCAGTTGCGGCGATGGCAAGCTGCCCACAGAGACAGTAACGAATGTTATGAGTGGGTGCAAAGTAATTCGCAGTGATATGCCAAAGGATGCTGTGGCAATACTGAGAGTGTATTAAAGGATGCTTTATTTTTAATCCAGTAACTGTTATTTTTTTAAGTTTTTGTATTTAAAGTACATAAGTTTACAATTTTGTTGAACACAATTTTTATGGAATGAAAAATAAATAAAATCAATTTCATGAGGAGATAAATGGATTTTCTTTTAAGTCTTTTCTCTACTCTAGTATCTTGTACTTTTAATTAGAGTACTTGTACTTTTTCATTAATGCTAGAAATATGAAAAACAAATATTTTTTTATTGAAATTGCAATTTTTACATGTTTCTTTAATTACGAAATTTGTTGTTACTCTAATTGCAGCTATGGAGCCAGTTATGATTTAGCAGCCCGTCGTAAGAATGCCACACGTGAATCTACAGCTACATTGAAAGCGTGGCTTAATGAACACAAAAAGAATCCATACCCAACCAAGGGTGAAAAGATCATGCTGGCTATTATTACGAAAATGACATTGACTCAAGTCTCCACTTGGTTTGCTAATGCACGACGTCGTTTAAAGAAAGAGAATAAAATGACGTGGGAACCGAAAAATCGTACAGATGATGATGACGAAGCATTGGTGTCGGATGATGAGAAAGAAAAGGATGATATCGAAAGTGAAAAGTCTACTCATGCAGCTCCGATGCATTCTGGAAGTGGAAGTGGCATATCTAGCGAAAGTCGGAAAGGTATATATTTTTTTATTTCATTAATATTTTAGTATTATATTTATTTGAATAAAAATTATTATACAATTTAAACTAGCACCACAATTTAAAATTATTAATAATAATTTAGGTAATAAATATTTAATATAATATTTCGCAAACTAATTTTTTTAGAGCAAGCAAAAGACGACGATGAAATTGGTGATGAAGACCAAAAATCTTTGACTCATTCAACAGATATGCGAGGCAGTTATACAAGTAATAACTTCCACAGTTCAGCTTTAGGTAATCATCCACATAGTTATCATCCTTATCACCATCAACATCCAGCCTATTATCAGCATCAACAAGCAATGCTTGCGGCTAGCTATAATTCTGCTAATAGTATCAATAAAATTGAAAGCATCGATCCAAAAAACCAGCTGAGCCGGGACTGTGGCGTGCCGATTCCAGCAACCAAGCCCAAAATTTGGAGTTTGGCCGACACAGTCGCCTGCAAAACACCACCACCAACAGCAACATATATGGGCCAGGCGCAACAGCAGCAGCATCATCACCAAATTCAACAGCATGTAATGCAACAGCGCCGATTACAACAAATGAACGGCAACCACAACATGCTCATGCCGCAAATGACAACTCAACTGCAACACTCAATCGATCCGAACCAAGAATCGCCGCATATGATGAACGATTACGTCGCAGCTCCTTACTCACGGGTGCCTACCACAGCATACGGGGGTTTTCTAGGAGCTACAACGCAGCAGCTGCATACTACGAACAATATCCCTTACAACAACAATACAGCCAACAACAACAGTATCAACAACAACAATATCAACAGCAACAACAACAACAGCAGCAATATCAATCACAGCAACATCAGCAATACAGACACTCATACGCCTACCATCCCTATTATAACAAACCCTTTAGCAGCCCATCAACAACAGCTAAACATGCGATCCTTACAGAATCAACACGTAGCGAATCAGCAGGTGATGGGGTTTCCCGAAGCCCAACCAGATACTCCACCCCAAACTCCACCGAACTTGAAAGTGCAGAGCGTAGCAGCGAATCTATTACTTTCCGCTACTCAAGCCCCTATGATCGGTATTTGCCGCAGCAGTAATATGATGACTAGTTCCAACCTTTATCCTTCAAAGTATACAACAAATTTCGGCGATTACTCACCGCGTGATGAGAATTCAAGTGCTAGTAGCTGCAGCTCTACTTCTTCGCAATTGCCACAGATTGAAACAAAGTTTAAGCCGCTTTTTAATAGGTAAGTTGAGAATATTATCAAATAATATATGAGGATATTATATACAAGCATGTATAACATTAAAGTAGTATTTAAATTTCATATAAAAAAATATTTTTTTATTATTTATTTTTTGTAGTCATCAACTGTCAACAGCTGGTTTCGTACCACCGGTTTAGGGACCCTCTCTTTGATATATAAATAACGCTGAGAAACGGTATTGAGAGCTTAGGTATGTTCCGATGTCAACATTTTTAATAATTATTAATTTTTTTTAATTACGAATTGATGTTAATATAAAAGTAAATTCAATCAAAATTAAGTTGAAATCTTTTCATTACCACTTTTAGTAAATTTTGTTGTTACTTGAAGCAACTCAAAGGGGTTATGTGCAAAATCAATTAAAAAAAAAACAAAAATAATTGTAATTACTTAAAATAAATTAACTAAAAATACTGTCGAAGTCTTAATACTTTAAAAATGGATATATAATAAATTTTGTTCGTATAATATTAATGTTTTTTACCACTTAAGAAACTATTAACTGTGATACTGTATACAATGTTCATTATTTTTAATTTATTGTAAAATCATGTGTGCAAATATATAGAAATTAATTTTAACAACTAATTAAATAAATAAATATATATCATTTAAACAATGGATTTTTTTATTATCTCTTTTCTGGTAAGTAAATGAAAAGTATTGAAATGAAAAAATTGTACAGAGTTTTATAGATAGACCTCCGGATACTTTTTGAGCAGAAGGCACTTCTATAAGATGTATAAAGACAATTTCTTATTCCACATTACAATTTACTTTTTTGAAGACTGCTTAATAGAATTATATTTCAATGAACTGATATAAATAAAACTAACGAATTTTTGTTTTATTTATAAATAGTTTTTTACAGATGTTTCGAACCGTAGTGAGAATCTACAACAACAACATTTTTACTATTTTAATTAATTGAATTTTTGGGTGACCATACGTTCTTTCGAATATAGTCAAACACCTATCATCAGTGATCTCAGAAATAATTCTTGTGTTTAATGATTTGTAAATAATTTTACGAGACTGCAAGTACCAGAAATTGAACTCGTGCCCTGCCAAATTTGAAGCTCAGAATACGTGCTCCTTAACCAACTGACCCAAAACCGAACTTGACTTTTATGTTCGCACATTTTTTTCGAGTTTTGTTAATTTGCTGTGAAAGTTATTAACAAATTTACTTGCTTATTTATATTAGACTAATATCATAAACCAGCAATAGAATAATTCTATTCATACTGTCTTTTAGTATGCCTATAACTTTATTAGTTTCCAACATTGAGCTCTTGAAGCAAACAGCTCTACTTTAAGGATCAGACATACATCTATTAAATGCAGCACATTATCTTGAACTTGGAGTTTGCACATACCATACTACATATATGTTGTTTGAGCTGCTGTCATGAAGCTTGTAACATAACATTTCATCAACAACATTACCTTAACTACTTTAAATTTAAAATTAATATTTGAGTATTTATAAGCAAAAGGGACATACATTATTTAAGTTTACACTGTGCATCGATAGTAATGTTACTTGTTGCTTTTTTATGAAAACATCATAATCAAAATTGCTTTCTAATAATTTTTTGCCGTACACGTTTCCAGACATCTAATTCTAATTCTACTGTTATTTTCCATTTCAGATCACTGTTGAAAGATCATTAGTTGTTTACCCAGTAGAACGTTAGTTCTATTGGGAATATATCTTTTCGGGAGATTTATATATTTGTAATGTGTGCATCATTATATCCTTGGGGTATAATGATGGCAGATACCATTGAATTCATTTATATGTCTATATTTTAAAAACTGTTGTTTTGTGGTCTGATTTGAAAGTGATCCGAACACTACTTGATCATGTAATATGATCCGAACAAATTTTGTTCTAGCTGTTTTTAATGAAAAGTAGAGTTCAACTAAATTTACCGTTTACAAAACTATAATCTAATTAAGTATAATTAAGTACTTAAATTTTTGATTGGAATTATTTATTCTAAAATCTCATATATCTGTAAATTGATCCTTTTTACGAGTTTTTCTATTTATTTGATTAAGAATTTCTTACCTAAATTAGAGTTTTGTTATAAAAAAACACTTATAGGACTGCTTTCGTGATTAAAATTGTATCCCACAATACTATCTTTATTTTTGACGTCAAATATGGGATTTTGATATTTATATACATTAGAATAACAGGCTTGAAGGTATTAAAAGATACGTACCCTACGGATAAAGTAAATGTACCAAATTATTCAAATACAAAACAATGAATTTTGAAAAAACTGGAAATAATTAGGTTTTTTTCATTTCATAAGAGTACCGATCATATTTTAAAAGAATAGTTAAGAAATTTATGACTTATATCCTATATCGGGAATATTCAGATTTGTGCAGTATATTTTCGAACCATATGAGGGTTTATAATCCTAGAAAAGAAATGGATCTTAGCTTAAGAATCATAATATTGGCGTATGCATAGTAGAATTTTTATTTTAAAGAATCTTTTTTATAGGCAAATATCTAGCTATAGCAGATTTACTTTTTCTGTTAAGTGTAATCACGAATGTCCAATAAAGCGACAAACAACGTATCTTATATACAAACGTTATTATTGACCTTAAACTCCGTGAAACTTTATTCATGATAGCTAGATAATAATTTATCGCTTTCAAGCAACCGCTGACTTGATGATGGGCCACCGGGAAAGCAGTAAGTACGGTATATGATATATAAGAATTTAGTGAAGACAAATAAAAAAAAAAAGATAATCGCAAAGTTTTAAACTTACTTAAATAATAAATAATTAAAATTGTGCGTATAACTGATCGAACATTTTTCAAATCAATACGATTAGCCTTTGTAATATCTGAACACATTTAAATATAAAGACATGTTAGAAATCAATTTGAAAGATATTTAATGGACATTATTAATTGATTTAAGCTATTTGGATGAATTGTTTTTGAAATAATGATATTTTCATAATTAATTTTCTTTTCGGATAAACTTCGCTTTAACTCCTGTATCTTTTTAATATTAAAGAATAAGCCATATTTTCTATTCTAAGTATTAAATTCTTACATATAAACAAGAAAATGCAAATACTGTTTGACAGTGACACTACTTATCGTACAATCTCTAAGCATATGTAGATCACATATTTGGATATAAAAATTATTTTCTACTGATGATTAGATGTTTCACAATTTCTATAAAAAGATGAATTCTTTAAAGACTTATCATCGTTTCTACGCCATTAATATAGTGGTATTTATCAAGACCGCAAAAGAAATAAAACCCGGGAATATAATTAAAGAAAAAAAATTTGGTTTTAAAGGAAACTTCATAACCGACCCGTAGCTAACAAGTATTTAGGTTAGTATATGCTATAGTTGGCATTAAAAGAGAGCAAGTCAATATACATTGTTTTGTTTGAGTTTAAAAAATCTCTCGACAGATGTCTCTACAAAAGAACACCTTTTAAATAAAAATGGGTAAATACAAATAGAACTTGAGCACTGAAAGCTTGTGGAAAAACAAGATTAGTCATGAATCAAATGAATCAAATTTATGTTGTTGCTTCTTTATTACTGTTCAAACCCTTTAACTTTCGATAAAGTTTCGCTCGTTGAATGCTACAATGAAAATAAAATACGACTTAATTCTAACTTGTCGCCGACATTTCTTTTAAACAATTGAAAATTTAAGAAAAATATTTAAAATAATATTTCAATTAAAAGAGCAATAGAGACAGAAGTTTCTCAATAATAATCGTTGTAAACAATTGTGTACAATGTCTACACAATTTATTTTTTTTGTTTTTTTAAATTTTCATTAGATGAAAAAAAAAAAAATCCTAAAAAATCCATCCTAAAAAAAAATGTTTTTTTAGAAAAAAATGTTTTTTTAGGATGAGTTTTCTTTTCTAAAATGAATCCTTCAAAAATATATTATTATTATTATTAAGCTTTAAATTTTAAAAAAGAGGATTATAATATAAATTAAATTTATTATATATATTATACAATTAAACCTATATATATATATAATAATAATATATATATAATATATATATTTTATATAAATATAAAATTATAATTATATAAATTAAGTTAAATAAAGTCATAAGGCGATTTACTTTGACCATTGAGTATAAATATTTATACCAACCTTTACCACGGTTTAGAAAAATTGTACGGCATAAAATAATCTTAACATGAATTGTTTTCATGTTGAAAATACTTTTTTTTTCTTTTAAATACATTTTGCTTAAGGTAAGTTTCAATCGGTTTTAATATATAATCAAATTTGTAAAGTAGGTTCTATACTACTTCTTATTGCCGCAACAGGGCTTAGAGATCTACTCAAAACCCCCTGAAGGGGGCACAATAGACCCGATGGTCGCTGTAGCACATCCCTTAACTAAAATAATGAATTATGTATTAGGTATATACATATAATAGTTCATGGTTTAATCAGTACTGTACCAACAAAAAAGGAATTTGAAAGGTATGTCTGGTTGATGTAATAACTAAAATACTCCACAAGAATAAAGTGAAACACTTTCTTGAGTGGAGTGTCCTATAGAAAGTAATATATATTACCCCAAAATTTTGATTTTACAAGACTTACAAGGAATAGTCTAAAAAAACAGTTAGAGGTCAACAAAAATTAAACGATATCTTTTAGTAAGTTTATTTCTTACTTATTGGTTTTTAAAATATGGAAGATGGTGGTTTGGTCAATGATAATGAAAAAAGTTGGAAGGCAGGAAAAAGGGTCCATAGACTTCAATACAAAAAAACAAATTTGAAGTAATTTTAATTTTATTTAAATGCAAAGTTATATTGAATAT